TAATCTATTTTCTGAAACTAATTATCATATAGTATAGATTATTGTATCGATTCAATTTTGAGTTTTTTCTTTCAAATTATTTACTAACACGTGATAATAATTTAGAAGAGTAAAAGTATGTATTCTGACAAATAATATGAAATATAAATATTGTTATATTTCTTAACAGAATATTAAACGTCAATATTTCTATTTTATTTTAATCAAAAACAATGAAAAGATTAAACAAGAAGTACAGCATTTATACATCCATCATTTTCTGGATGATTTGTAACTTGTGCATATTTTCCCCATACAACTTTTCCACCTTGTGTAACCATTCCAAGTTCACTAACATTAACCTAATGAAAATTAAATGAAATATTTACAGATTTATCTATGATACACTAGTTAATATTTACTTCAAGAACTGTTCCTTTAGTTATCACACCTAAAGATGTATAAAGTGGTGAACTTGGATTTTTCTTAACACCAATAATAGGTAATTGAAAAGTTGCTTTTAATTCTGGATGTGTTACATGTGCTTTAGTGAAACGAAGTGCCTAAAAGAAATTCAATTTAGAATCACAAAGAAGTTTGCCAATATTTTACCATTGGTCGAATAAATCGTTCAAATTTTGGTGGTTTTCGAGTAAATCCTTCACCAACAAAACATGGTTTTGTTACAAGACGTTTCCATGCTTTCTCTATTTGTAGAAATAATTATTAAAATATAAAAAAGAAAGAAAAATGTTTTTACTTCGTCGTTTTCCGGATTGAACAACTCGAAATACTTCTGATTCACTTACTGCTTTTACTTTTGGTATTGGTACATCCCATTTACCCTATAAAAGAAAATTTCCTTAATCTATTTGAATTAATTAAATAATAAATATACAGCTTTTTCTTTGCGTTTTTGTTTAATAGTATTTGATAAAACTTTTGCTCGATTTTGTTTTTCACGATCGAGTAAATAAGCTGGTACAGCACCTTCTGGTACTTCTTCACGTTGTTTTGTTTCTTTTTCTTCATGACTTTTAATTGTTTTTTTCATTTGAATCTTTTCATTTTGACGACGTTTATTATATAATTTAGCTCTAATGAAAATAAGCAATAGAGATTTAATTGAAATTTATAAAAGAAAAATTATTTACTTTATTCCACGTAATGTTTGAGCTTTTTTAGATAGTATATGTGGTAAACGTCCTTCTTTCTTTTTTCTATAAAAAAAAGTAAAGAAAATAGGTTTTATTTTTTTATAATTAGTTTATATTACTGTTTTTCATAGTGATCGAATCGACGACCATGTCGTTTACGATGAAGTTCGATATGTTCGTTTTGTGGCTGAAATAAAAATGATTACGTAAATTGAAAATTTCTATTGCTGTTTCTACACAGTATATAGTAACATTAGTAAGTATATATACAATAATAATTTCACTTTCAAATGGTAAGTTATCCTCAAACTCATACTTCTACACTTTGTACCTATTCAATTTTATTCTCATGTATTATATCAAAATAATTTCGAAGGTTAATATCTTGTAAGCAAAATTATATTAAGCTTTATTTATTACCGAATACTGATCAGTTTCAATTTAAAACTACACTATAAATAGAATACATATACTTTTTCTCTTCATAATTATTTTTATTATATAAATTAAGAATAACTCTATGATGAAAATATAATCCATGTAACTCTCGTTTCGACACTTACCATGGGTCTTTTAAATCGATCTAAAAGAAAGAAAAGAATATTAATCAATCATACAAAAAACTGAGTTTGAATGATATAATTCTAATCATCAAAAGAAATTTCAAGAAACCAAGTATTGATCTATGTATATTAGATGATAGATGTCGCTTTTATTTTTGAACTCTCATATAATTCTAATATACAAATTTTTATTTTTCATTTTTTCAATTTCATATAGTTGAATATTGGATATATAGTTTTCATTTCATTTGAAATTATCGATTGGTTACAGAAATCAATCCATTCAAAAAATAAACAACAAATAAATAAATCAATGTCATCGGCAACTAGAGACGACTCATTTTTATATTTTCTCAACTGAGAAAATTTCTTCAAATTCTTGTACTTCTTCATCATATCTCATGACAGTGGAATCACCATTAGCTGAACAACAACGTGCTGTTGTTGAACTTTATGTGTATTCAAAATGGATCAAAGCAAGTTTAGCATTGGAAGATGATAATTTATTTATTGAATATGAAAATGATAAACAAACATCATTTGAACAATTAAATTCTCATACTAATATAATAAATCAAAATTCAACAATAAATATTCCATCAACAAATCATGATGTATCAAATACTATTAGCAGTCAAAAACGTATAGTAAAAATATCTAAACCAGATAATACTGGTCTTGGTAAGAACATCACAATTTAATTTTAGTTTGAATTTTTATATATTTTATAATTCAATTAGGAATAAGTATTAAAGGCGGTAGAGAAAATCGAATGCCTATATTAATAAGTAAAATATTTCCAAGTATGCCTGCTGATCAAACTGGACAACTTTATGTTGGTGATGCTATACTTTCAGTCAATGGACGTGATTTACAACATGTTTCACATGAAGAAGCAGTACAAATATTAAAAAAAGCAGGCAAAGAAGTTGAACTTGAAGGTTAGTTTTAATATTACTCTTGACAATTGAAATAGATTGATAAAAGAGATAAACGATAATAGGCATACGAGAATAGATATATATATGATAATGATAAATATAGTAAACGATAAAACGAATGAGAGAAAAAATAACAGATGGTAATAGTTAATAAAGAAATGAATAGGATACGATGCATGGTACATTAAAAAGAAATTGCACTTCTAATACTTTCGAAACCTTTGATTTGTGCTTTATTTGATTAGCGTATTCATTCATCAAAAGAAAGCATTTACAATTTTTATACAAAATATTTTATTCTAAATAAAAAAAATAAAATTCTTGATTTTCTTGTATGAGAAATAGACACGATCTTGACGGAATGTCACTAATCGAAAGAATATATTCAATTGAAAGATACAGTATTGTTGATAATTATTCTTATTGAAAGGAAGATATCTCTATCAAATAACTAAAATATATATTTTAGTTCGATATTTACGAGAAGTAAATGTTCTAATGCAACAACAACAAAATTCTTTACCTTCTCGAAAACAACAACAACATCATTCTGAAGATGATCTTGTTGAATTGAATCAAAAACGAATTATATCAGCTATACCTCATCAATCATCTAATGATTCAATTCGTTATGAAACAAAACGTATCTCTCTTCGTTTATGCTATGTCTTTCGTCGTTCATCATCAGCTACTGATATAATTGTATTATCATCAAATTTATCAATACCAGCAACAGCATCACCTTTATTAACAGATGGTACAAATGGTTCTATTTTAGATATTATTTTACCTTATAATCAAACTTGTTATAGCTTACGTTTTGTTGATGACATGCATGCTCGAAATTGGTTTTATATAATTCATTCAAAAATTTCTCGTTGTCTTTTGGAAATTTTACCTGAAATTGAAGAACGTTTCTATGCTGAACGTGATAATAATGAAGTAAAAGCATTAGGATGGTTAGCTGAACAAGTTCATTATGATGACTTAACAACAATTAAATCATGGCGACCAGTTTTTCTTGTTCTAACAGATTCAGAAATATGCTTCTTATCTCATTCACCCGTATCAAGACAAGCATCTCGAGAATCTAATATTACCTATCCAATATTATCGAGCAGGTAAAAACATAAAGACAAGACTTTTATTTCGTAAAAATAATTTCTTTTTTTCTTTTCAAAAAAAAAGACTTATTCAATCAACTCGTGATACATCAACCGATATTGATATTTCATTATTATCATTACGTGTTGGAACAAAATTCGGTGTAGTCATACATACATTTCGAATTGAAACAAAATATGATTTAGATTATTGGACAACTTCAATAAGTCAATGTATACAGAGTGCTGTTCAACGTATAAAAGAAGTTATTTTTCGTATGTTAGAAAAAGATTTTTTCTTGATTTTCTTTTATCAATTAAATTTTTAAGCTTGCAAATGGAATAATCGTTTATGTAAATTATATTTACATTATGAAGATGGTTTTGCATTGTATGCGGAACCAGATATTGGTAGTACAAGTGCTCGTTTACTTTGGCAAGAACCATTTGAAAAACTCCGCTCATCATCAGATGATAATAATCATTTACTTATGTTAGATTTTCATGGTGAAGAAGGTGTCATGGTATGATAATATTTTTTAATGATTTTTAAGAAATATATCTTTTTTATTTTATTAGGAATTATATTTCGATGCTTCACCTAAATCATTTGTCTTCCATTTACATGCATTTTTGTCAGCTAAAGCAGCGCGAATTAGTCTTACCAGATAAGCTTTTACTCTTTTTCTAGTCATCTAGCACAGTTAACCTATGTCTTTTATCAGATAGAAGCGTTTTTATTAATTTAATTAAAAGTTATTTTTTATATCTTTATGTATCATTAGTATATAACAGTTTCCTTTTTGCGTGTGTGTGTGTGTGTATTGATTTCCATTGTGTATTTTTTGTCTTTTGTTTTTACCTGTACTTTGAAAAAATTAACAATGTATGTGTATGAAATTTCGTCTATTTATAAGATAATAAATCAAATTTAAAAAAATCATATTTATTTTAGGATTTAATTCTTGAGATTGAAGAATAATCGAAATATGGTAGCTGATAAAAATTGAATGGAATGAATCATATCGAAGTGCACATGACTTTTTTTCCTTTTCTTCTATTTCATTCTCTCATATAAATTGCAGACATATATATATATATATAACAGTGCAGATAAGTATAGTCAGAGAGAGAATAAACGATCGATCATCGTCACATTCGATTACATAGTTATTATCAAAAAGCAAACTATTTTTGATAAATACACATACTTTAACACTTTTAGATATAAACTTCGAATCGAAAAAAAAAGAAAGAATGCGTTTAATTCTAAATATTTTTATCATCGGTATTGGTTTAATACCGTTGATATATACATCACCAGTTTCACTAGGTGATGGTTATTATTTACCTTCAGTGGAAAATGTTGAAACTCATATTGATAATTTATGGACAAATTTTAAGAAAGGTTATGGTATTGTATATAATACAAGTATTGAAGAACTTCATCGTTTTAAAATCTTTGCTGGTCATGTTAAAATGATTGTTAAACATAATCTTGAACATGATCTTGGTTTACACACATTTCGACTTGGCATTAATAAATATGCTACATTGGTAAATAGCAGAAATGATTTAATTTAAATATTTTCATTATTTTTTCTGAATTTTAGACAAATCAAGAATTTCGTCAACAATTTAATGGATATCGTCGTGATAAGAATTCTCATTCACAATTATCCGATTTTCGTCGTTTACATGTTCCAGCTTCACCTTATATAGCTCTTCCAGTATCTGTTGATTGGCGTGATCAAGGTATGGTAACACCAGTAAAAGATCAAGCACAATGTGGTTCATGTTGGGCATTCAGTACTGTATGTAGAAATCTATATTGAATAAATAAAGTTTTAAGATTTAAATATTTTATAGACTGGTGCACTCGAAAGTCATCATGCACGATCAAGTGGTAAATTAGTTAGTTTAAGTGAACAACAACTTGTTGATTGTTCAACACATTGGGGTAATAATGGTTGCAACGGTGGTTTAATGGATAATGCATTTAAATATGTTCATGATAACAAAGGTCTTGATGATGAAGCATCATATCCATATGTTGGAAAAGTAAAAAAGAATAATTTACTTTCTTGATAAATAAAAAATATTTTTTCTATTATTAACAGGATGAAGCAGCTTGTAAATTTCGTCGACCTTCCGTTGCTACAACATGCGATGGTTTTGTTGATATTCCACAAGGCAATGAAACAGCATTACAAGAAGCTTTAGCACTTCAAGGTCCTGTTTCAGTTGCTATTGATGCTAGTCAAGAATCATTTCAATTCTATGTATCTGGTATGTAAAACATAAAAACTTTAAAATATATTTTAATAATTTTTTCTTCTGATATAGTTAAATAGTTAAGATATAGGTTTAAGCTGCTCTTACTATTTGCTCTTTTCTCTATGTTGTTAAAATATTGATTTATGTATAATCATTTTATATTTTAGGTGTTTACTCTGATCCCAAATGTTCATCAGAAGATCTTGATCACGGTGTTCTAGCTGTTGGCTATGGTGTTGCTAATGATCCGGTTAAAGGTCAACAAGAATATTATATTGTTAAAAATAGGTAAATAACAAAAACAAATTAGAATATATTTCATTTTAATTTATTTCTCTTTAATAGTTGGTCAGCTGCTTGGGGTGATAAAGGCTATATAAAACTTGCTCGAAATAAGAAGAATATGTGTGGTATTAGTAGTGCTGCAAGTTATCCAATTGTTAGCGATAAATCGGTTCAAAGTGAAGTGATTAATTATTAAATAATTAATTCAACAACAGATATATATATTCATGCAATGATTAAATCAAAATACAAAAAAAAAACATTTCTTTTTCTGCATTATTATAAATCGATTTTCTTGTGTTGTCATTTCTAATGTATATGATTGATTATTACATTCTATCTTCTGATTTTTGGCTTAGAAAAACAAATCTTTGTTCATTGTGTATTAGTTGAATTTCTTGTTGTTTGTACATAGTACAAAACTAAGAAAATCATTGGATTCGCATTTTTGCTATACTCATACTTTGTTCTTTTTCTCTGATTTTACATCAATAAAAAAAAATTATTCAAATTGAAGGTATTTCATATATGCATGATCGAAGTTCATTTTGTTGAACCTATTCAGAAAATTTATAGAATAAGTAACAACATGTCAAAAAAATCTAAATAATATAAAGCGAAAAGAATGGATTGAGTCAGATACGAGCATCTCATAGTTTACGCTACTTCAACTCTAGCTGTTATTTACTAAGTACTATTCTGAGTATGTTTCAAGTCGTGTGTGCAAAGTGCTGGCTTCTGGTTTAGTTCTAACTTGGAATCGCAATTGCTCGTCTATGGGCTGAATATTTTTCTCTAGCATGTTGGAGTTTTTTACACTCTACGTCGACGATTGTGAATCATATTTGACTATTAGTAAAGAAATGCTTTTTATAATTCAAAAGAAAAGGAAAGCAAAAAAGTAGGACATATTCGTCCCATATTAAAACTTTATCATATAATAAATATATATTTAAGATTAAAACAGATTATATTGTTAATCAATATAAATATGAAAGAATGATATTGTAATTGATCTTATCCCTTTCGGGACGGGCGGCCATTATAATGACGAGTATTTAGAAAACACTTCCAATATCTAGATGCATACCATTTTCTATTTTTTATTGTAACTACTATTGCTTGAGGCAGCTATACAGAGGGCTCTGTTTGCGTAGTAATCATACAGGGAAAGTAAATGAAGTTCGATAAAATAAAGATTAACTAAATTTAAGTATTACAATGCTATTGAAAAGAATCCCATCTTGAAAAATGTTAAATAAACATTATTTGAAAATATATAAATACATGCAATGTATTGGCTCATTTATCTTGATCATGCTTTTTTCGACATTTAAAAAAAGCAAATTTACTTGATCAAACACTTTTAAATCAAAAATAAATATTTTTCTGTCAAATACATTTATCAAGATCAAATAGAAATAGTTGATGATGAAGTTACGTAAAATAAAAAACTTTTCAATATCTTATGTCAAGCCAAAAAAATCTTATTTTGAATATTGGAGTTTTATTCTATTGTTAATATACAACGAATATTTTATCAATTTTAATATTTATTTATAATTTCAGCAAAATACTGTCTAACGTATGAAAAAGCTGTTAGCGCAATCTCTTTGAAATTAAAATTTGAAACACGAAATAGCTCCTAACACATTAGTTAAAACAAATTAATAACGTCTCTCACGATCTATAGCAGTTATAATTCATATCTATCGCTGTGAGATGTTAATTTATTTCATAAGCGAACACTAATTCATATAAAAAGAATGATGACACATCACACACTAGACACATAGAACAGAACAATATATATCTATCACTGCCAACGTCTTCTCTCATGCATACGATGTAATGTATAATATATTATTTTTGTTTCCCTTTGAATTTGCATTGTATGACTCATAGGTCATTGTAATACACTATTTTTTTTGAATTTAGGAATATTTGAATAAATTTGATCGTGGAAATTAGTCGAAAATACTCTTGTATACATATATGAGGTTAACATATCAAAAATGCTTCGACGTTCTCATTGTCTGACAAGCAAAAAATCGACTGGGAAAAAACCCAGTGCACGTTATTACCCATTCCTCTATTAAGAGAAGCCAAAGAAAGAAAAAAAGCGAGCACATAAAAAGTGTAATTAGTTCTGGAAACTCATTGCAAGGAATGGCTAAACCTAGTATTTTTTTATTTAAGATATTATCTATTGAACATGAGGGATGGTCGGTCGTTCGTTACTTAAATACACCTGTAAGTTTCAATTCGTGAGTTTTTTGATCTTTTCGTCTTTGTAATGAAGATATGTTTTAGACTTGTTTTTTTCAACCAAATATTGTAATAAAATGTGAAGTTAGATTACAATCATTATTCCCATAGGTATACTTTGTCTTTTTATAATTGGTTTAGACTAAATTTCGAGATCTCACGATAGATATCATCTATCTTTCGCGATATAGTTACTTGCAGATTGTAGAGGTCAACCATACTGTTTTAAAAATTTTAATCAAGAAAAGTACTACTAATGAAAATGTCCTGCTAATAAGATAACATCTTGTTTTGATTCATCAGATGAGAATATGTTACTCTTGTTGATATTTAGACTGTTTTGAAGTGTCTTGTGTCACTGGGAAAAAATATTTTAGTTGCCAACATATTTAGAACACGTGGAAAGAAAAAAAACAAAATAGTGAAGAAATATGCTCTCGCAAAAAGGCTTTATTTCTTCATCACACATAAAAGTAGGTTGTTTTTTTCTTTCTAGTAAATATATATGCGAAAAGTTTTTTTACTTGTATTATACAATAAAATTCTTATTTTTAGTTCACGTTTCATAAATCTATTAGTGATAATTTTATTAAAGTTTAAAATTATACGATCTAATGGATTAAGTTTTCAAAAGTTATTACATTGGTTGTAATGCATGGAATAGTTAAAAACTACGCTCACATTTTATTTCTTCCGAGTAAATACTAGTTAAATAATGTGACGAAATGAAGTGAAAGAAAATCGCTAATTTTATTCAGAAAAAACACGAGTATAGAGAGATGAAATGAATAAAGAGAGGAAATCGTCGAGAAGTTTCTTTTCTTTATTAAGCTCATGAAGAAAGATTGACAGTGGATTGAGGTCCATAAAAGGTTACATAGGAATATAAGTACCAGATGTACGAAACAGAAGAAAGAAATGCACGAAATAAGAAGAATTAAATATACGAAAGGAAGAAAGAAACGAATAAGAGAAAGATACAACTATGTAACAATACGCAGTAATTTTTTTGATACTATCGATTATTTTAATAATTAATACTAAAAATAATATACACAATTACCTTTTGAATCAATTATAGATGTCAGTTAGATTTTTCCCACATGTTTTTTTTTTATATTACGGACTCTTATTATTTTTTACCTTTTCTTGATGTAAATCAAAAGCAAACTTTCGAATATTTACATGAGTCTGTCTCCGCGAAAGAAAGAGGAATTTTTTTCCAAGCATTTCGCAGAAAACGTCGCAGGACGACAGATATCACTAACGGATCTGAGTGAAAAGCAACGAAATTCTATTGAATCTGATTGAATTCTATCGAAATTTGATCGATTTCTCGATGCAAAACTCAAACAAGAAAATATCGAAGGGCGTCTGAATAATCATGGTTTCCATTCGAACATCAGCATCCGACGGACGGCCAGAATTTTACCGTAATGACTTTAACCGTACGCTTCTAGCCGCTGCCAGAACAATATTATTTCATTCTAGGTACAACCCATAATTCGCATCTCTACCCAGTAGCAGCAAACTTGAAAACTAAATTCAACTATTACTTCGAATATGCAAATATTCACACATCTTAGCAACAACCAGGTGCAGCTACACCAGACGTGGAATCGGACCGGTTGGTCCGATCGGGTTGAACTTTCCACGCAGACATAAGACGGTGCAGACCGGTCTGATCGGTTCTTCTATGAAATTTTAGAGCGCTAAAACTAAATTAGCGTATTTTGCTCTTTTTTATTAATTTTCATGATTTCAATGATCAACAGATATAAACCCAAACGTCGTTAACTGACAAATTTATAGTCGCCACTAAACTTTCAAGTCACAGCTTTGAGCTCTCGTTTTGTTATCGCATATGTGAAACTGAACCAATCGATTTTTGCCGATTTTATCGCTCAGATCAAGAATTCCGGCCGGCTGGTTCGATCCGATCGAAAAAAAATGGACTGGTTTCAACTCTGCGCTACACTCACACCTGAGTAACACCTAAATATACCCACCCGTACCTTAGCAACACCCAGCTACATCCGCCCACATCTTAGCAATACCCAAAATACACCCACGTCCATACGCTGGATAGTTGCTTATTTGAAAACTTGAATGATTGAATCGAAGTTTCAAGTATTACATATTTGAACATTTAATACGTATAGCGATATTTTTGAAGATTGTTTTTAGTTTTTATGAGTTTTGTTCAACAGTAATCGTTAATTTATATCTAAAACAAAATAGACAAAACCAAGAAAAGTTTTTTCATATAAAATGCACCAAGTGTTTGACAAGTTACTCTACAAGAAACACGTAGAAATTTTGAAGTAACTCTTAGATTAAGATGGAAAGCATCTCGAGGGCGAGTGTGGGTGTAGTTGGGTATAGTATAGATTAGGGGTAGGACAGTTTCATATTAGTTCCGTTCTTAGGAACTGTATAATAGTTCTTTTGGCAGGAACTAAACTGTACCAACAGTTCTTGGAAAAGAACTAAACTGTGCCAACAGTTCTTTGAATAGAACTGAACTGTCTGAAAACCAGTTTTTCGGAAATAAAAACAGATTTGAAACAGATCAGTCCTTCTGAAAGAACTGTTGATATAGTTCAGTTCTATTCAAAGAACGGTTGGTACAGTTCAGTTCCTTTCAAAAGAACTGCTAATACAGTTCTTTTGACCAGTTCATCTGAACTTTGAACTGTGAACTGTCCTACCCCTAGTATAGATATGGATATTATATCTATCTCTTAATCATACTCACACCCACATCCACACCCTCAAAAATATTTATGAAACTTGCTTAAGTATATAGAAAAAAGTGTAATATGAAGATATCGCTTTTGATACTCTAATCTTTTTAATCAGTATAATATTGCTATATATATTGGGTTTTTATAAAGGAAGTATAAAATTTCAATTCTTTCGTAATTATTATGACTCTATCAGGTATTTGTTGCGAAAGAAAATTTTATAGCAAAAATTGAACTATGTTGTAAGTTTATTTTCTTTCAGCTTCTTGAGAAAACATGACGTAGGATTGCATCATGTTTCTATAGAACAATCTTTTGTTGCACACGTTGCTAGTTATTATTCATCGAAATTGATAAGAAAAACAACCAATTAGAATTATTCATACAGTATATTATTCATAGGCTTTCAATTCATATATAAATATTATTTCCCACACAGAAATTAGAAAAGAATATCATATGTAAGTCATAACTTATTACAAAATAGGACTTAGGCATACAGATGTTTTATCAAGTATTTCAAGTAGTTTTTATGGTATGTTTGTTATGAAATAATAAGACATTATATAGATGAGTCAGGTAATAATCAATATATTAGAACAAAAATAATATATTTTATTCATTCAGATTGAAAAAAAGGATATTAGGATCATCCAAGGCGTCTTATAACAATTTATTTTCTTACGAATATAATTTGACAGACTACATATAAAATTGAACTTTAAATATTATTTTAATAAAAAGTATATTTTCATACTCTATAATATCAGAATAATAATTTTTAGTTTTTCTATAGCGTAAATCTTGTTGTTTCTGTAGTATACTATAGTGATTCAGAGTAAAAAGCGACACATAATTTTCAGCTTAGTAAAAAATATTTTTAAATTATTTCCTATTAATTTTATCTAATAATTAAAATTTTGAATTTGTTTGTCGTTGCTATAACAAAAAAGGTTTAGTTTATTTACTGTGGCGCTGTAATCAAAAGAGAACATTTTTTCAAACTTCATGAGTAATAGGTTCAATACGGTGCATTTTTTTTGTATCATCATAGTGATTAAGAAATATTTTTAGAAAATACTCAGTGCATCTGAGTCATATATATTACGTATTAAGTACAATATTAAAGCTAGTTCTCTATTTGTCCCGATGTTTCCAGTATACTACAGTAGATTCTATCAAACACTTTGATTGCTTATAAAGACGACTCGAGTTAACCAATGGGAACATTGTATACAACATTTTGTTATTTCTTTCTTCAGAAACAGTATTATAAAAAGTAAAATATGACATATCAAAATATCTTGCTCAGATTTTTCTCAATAATGATAAAACCCATCGTGAGAATTTTTATTTTAAATCGGAAACGTCTTTTTTTGCATAGTGACCTCTTCTGATTGATTGCTATGGTGTGTCAAAATTTTGTTTTGAAAGCAATTTGTAATTGTTGATAGGTAGATTTTTATCTAAGTGAGTAATAGATATACAACTGGGGAAAATGATTAAGATAAAGTGAAAGTTCTAAATATATTTACAGGAGTTATATAATAATATTTGTTTGTAATTTTTTTTCTTAATTAGACGTGCCGAAAAACGAGGTGTAAACCTCACTAAAATTTAATAAACAATGGCAGTTGGAATTCAACCTATAAGAGAGGTTCTTTCATCGAGCTCGGCAAATCAAAGTGCACTTCGATCTTTACGACGTTCAAAACCTGAATTATATCGTTTAGCAACATTTAGACAATGGAGGGCAAATACACAATGCAATATATCACCCGCACTACTTTCTAAAGTCGGATTTTCATATACTGGAAAAGGCGATAAAGTTCGGTGTGAAATCTGTAAACTGGAAATTGAATCATGGACATCGGGAATGGATCCAAAGCAAGAACATATGGAAAGAAGTCCTCAATGTCCATTTGTTACAAGTGAAACTGAAATATTTTCGAAAAATGGTATTATATTACGTCATCTTTCAGTTCTTTGTCTAAGGTAGACATGTACCAAACCAAAAGTCATTTGAGTTTATTGATAAAATGTACAGAAGTTATTTCTTTTTCTTATTCAAAATTATGAAGTTAAAATTCAAACACGGTAAATTCTCTTGAGCCAAATGATTTATTGATCTTTTATATTCAATAATACATATTTCCTCGAAGTATAAAAATTTTCAGAACTAATTCTTAATATATTACCTTTTAACGTTCAATGATAATATGAGTTGAGCTGAAAGAGTTCTCGTAATCCAGAGATGTGCCTATATGTATAACATATAATTGTCATCGAGTCAGTAAGTACCATATGACACTTTTCTAAAGTAAAACTTCGGTTTGGTACATAGTTAATTCTAGAACAAAAATAGGATAATTAAAAACATACAGTTTCTGAGTACAGATTATTAATACAATCGACTATCCCAGTTCAAAATAAGATATGAACATTGATGTTTATGGAATTACCGTCAGAATGTAGAATAGTCCTAAACTTATTTTAACAATTTTTGATTACAACTAACGTTCGATATCCATAAAATAGATATCTGATAGTGATCATTATGTATACAAATCTTTAGAAGTATTTATCTATATCAAGTACATTAATTTGATTGTCTATATTCATATATTTTCATGATAACTTTATTTGAAGTTACATTGAAATAGAGCTTAAAAAAATGCTATGTTAACAATTAATATTTCCTCTTTTCAGGTTATCTCAAGCTTGTGTTCTAAAAGCATTCAAGTAAGTCAAAAATTCTATGGCGAACACAGCACTTTTTATTTTCTATTTCAATCCAACTTTAAATAAGGTTATCATAGAACTATATTAAAACGAACAATGAAATAAACATCTCATCTATTAAAATTCTTGTTCAAAATCAATGTATCTGATATAACTAGGTACTCTACATATTATTATATCTAATGATTAAAACCATGAATCTCTTTAAAACTAGGGTTCTATAGATCTAGTAATTCCCTAAACATTGATCTTTGTATCTCAACATCAGTATTTTAAGATTTATACTAACAATAGAAATCTAGAGAAGTAATATCCATCCTTGAAAAAAGGCGTTTCAGAAGAATGTTTATAACTTTTAAACAGAAAATAATAGAGATCTGAGATTTTCAGTGTTGGATAAAGGGCATGACAGCACATGGAACTATGCAAGTCAGATCTGTTTTTGCATGGTTCTATGTGCTGTCATACCCTCTATGCAACATCGAAAATCGCAGGTCTCTATCATTTTCTGTTTCGAAGTTATAAACATTCTTCTGAAACGCATTTTTCTCAAAAATGAATATTAGTTACATTGTTTCTATGTATATATTCAGATCTACCGCTATCGATTCTCAAACCAACAATTGCCAGTACTAATGTTGAACACTCCGATTATAGGGGATTTATGGATCATGGTGGTGGTGTTACTGATGATTTTAATAAAAATAACAGACCTCCTGAAAATCTATTCATCAATTCCTTATCGACGGACACGGTTGACCGCTCTCGAACATATACATTTTCGAATTGGCCATCGATTACACCTAGCGCGCAAGAGATGGCTTGTGCCGGCTGGTGGTATACGAATATTGCTGATAGAGTAATCTGTATTCATTGTGATACAATGTTTCATAACTGGAGCGAAACAGATCGGCCATACGAGATTCATCGTGTTAAGTCGCCCGGATGTTTCTATGTTCGTACAAATGAATATAAGCTGACCAGTACACAAAGACAAGTAGCTGTGCCTAGTCCAACAATAAATAATACTCCAAACGGATATACCATTGTAGGAGCAGTACACGCGGAATACTCATTAGTTGTTCGTAGACATCAAACGTTCGAAAAGTGGCCCGAAGCTGAACCATCAACTTTACCGTCGATAGAATCTTTTGTCGAGGCGGGATTCTTTTATACAGGTTTGATTCATTGAAATTCTTATTAAAATAAATTTGGTTCTATGAGTTTGTTGTAGGAGACAAAACGATCGTGCGATGTTTTTATTGTAACGGAGCACTACGGAACTGGCAATCATCGGATGATCCTAAAGTTGAACACGCAAGATGGTTCCCTCAATGTGCATATATTCGGCAATATATCGGCGAAAACCTATATCAGGCTATTCAACGGAAAAATCGTGAACTGCGCGGTATAATAAAGAAAAATATTAATTGAAAAAGGAAAACATACATTTCTATTTTTTATTTAGCACAAAGAAATCTACAGGAGAGTACGAATGGTGAAAATTCTCAATACATTCCTTGGACCAATGATGAGATTGACCGTATGGTGAAAGCTCGTCTTGACTTACCAGTTGTCGAAAAACTTCGACAAGAAGGTTATAGTATGGCCCTCATCCGGTAAAAATATTTTTAAGATGGTAAATTGATTATTTATTTCGATATTCTTTTTTAGCAAAGTCTATGAAATGCAACTTCGTTTTAAAAGTAGTTTAATCTTCTTGACAAAAAAAGTACATATAACTTATATTTACTGTGACTTTTATTATAGAGGACGATTTCAAAACTGATGTCGATCTCCGTGTTGCATGTCTTATTTTAGACAAACAAGTCAAATTAATCAATGGAAACGAAGCTAATATACTTATTCCTCAAAATTGGCTCAATAAATTCATTGAAGATCAGAAAAAAGGTATCGTAAACACCGAACAATTAGAAATAAAAAAACCAATTGAAATTCAGAGTATGTATTTTTTTTCTTTACTTTTCCAATCTTATAATTATTATTTCTATCGTTGCATAGAAACTGACACTCCAAAAATTATTGGAAAGATTATGACGCAACCTAGACTACTGCCAAAAACAGGTATGATATTATTATTGGATTATTTTAGTGAATACTTTTTCTTGTATTTCAGAAGAGACACCTGTCTGTGTGCTGTGTCTGACTACGGAACGTCAAGTAGCATGTTTACCATGTGGACATTTAACCAGTTGTGTAGCATGCGGACACAGTCTAAAGACTTGTCCTATTTGTCGAGCTACGGTGAAGGCCTTTATCCGCATATATACATGAACTTAACTAACTGCGATTTTTTTTTGATTATTTAATCATCCATTTGAAATTTTAATCCCGCAAC